TCATTTTCATCCTCTTGATCATCGTCAGACTAAGCCATCAACGCAAACAGTGAGTCATATTTCGTCGCCTTAGTTTCCACTGCCATCATGGAGTTGTTTTCTGCATCTGGTTCATTTTCTGATTCACTGGAGGACTCTCCCCAAGCAGCAAGAGCCTGCTTCACAATATTGCCAGCTGCCTTTTTTCGACTGAATCGTTTATCTGGCACCGGGTTCCTTTTTGCTGCTTTGTCATGATTTTGTTTGTATTGCTCATATTTCAAAAGTGGACAGTCTTTGATGAAATGCCCTGTCTTTCCGCACTTGAGACAGAGATCATTGTTCCTTGCCTTACTTGAACTGCCCCTCTTTGGTATACCACCATTTCTTCGAACCACCTTTTGAAACCTTTTAGTAAGATAGGTCATATCACTATCTTCTTCACTTGAGTCACTGTTTTCAGCCTTGAGCACCAGATTCTTTTCCTTCTTTGGCTCTCTTTTTTTACTGTCTTTCTTTCTTTTCATCTCGTATGTCTTCAGATTACCAATCAGCTCATCCATGGTTATAGTTTGTAGAACTTTAGCTTCAGTGATGGCATTCACCTTACTCTCCCAAGAGCCAGGTAGAACACTGAGAATTTTCCTTAAAAGCCTGCTTCTGGGAATAACATCTCCAAGTGAATGAAGCTCATTTATGATGGATGTGAATCTAGTGTGCATATCTTGTATGGACTCATCATCCTTCATTCTGAAGAGCTCATACTCAGTGGTGAGCATGTCAATCTTGGACTGTTTAACATGAGTAGTTTTTCGTGTGCGGTTTGCAATGCTTCCCATATTTCCTTAGCAGAATCACAAACTGAGACTCTGTTGTACTCATCGGGTCCTATACCACATACCAAGATTTCTTGGCACGATAGTTCTTTTCTACAGCTTTTCTGTCAATATCACTGTACTTTTTTCTCTCTTTCGGCACCATTGGTCCGGTTTCTCCAAGCTTCTTCATAGGAACATGTGAACCGTCACAGATGATGTCCCATAGTTCTGAGTCTTAAGCCATTATAAAATCATGCATATGAGTCTTCCACCAGCCGTAGTACTGACCATTGAATTTAAGAGGTCTGTAGGTTGATTGTCCTTCCTCAAAGTTGGGGGGAGAAGCCATTGAAATCTTTTCTAGGTGTTAATCTTTTAGAAAGAACCTGCTCTGATACCAATTGTTAATTTATATGAGTCCACCAAACTATAGAGTACCTGGTCCTCTGTGATTTTCCACTAAGAATACTAAGGAAGCAGTAAGTAAAAGAGATACGAGATTTTTACGTGGAAAAATCCCACTCAAGGGGACAAAAATCACGACCAATACTTGCAGGCTTTCAACTTCACTAACTTGTAATTACACTATTACAAGCCACTTTGTAATGACTCTATTACAAAGACTCCAACCCAACTAACTCGTGATACACTTACCATAAGCTACTTTGTCACTCACTAGTTACAAAGACTTTAACTTATGACTAACTCTAGTCACAACACAAACTTAGAAGGTTTGTGATTTTGGGTTTCCTAAAACACAGCTTCTAAGAAAGCAAGATAGGAGTTACAATGAAGAACAAATAACAAGATTATAACTCAACTATGGATATGCATAGACTCATTGTGAAACTGATCCTTTAGTAGAGTTGTCTTCTTGTTCTTGACACACTTGTGACTTCAATGTTGGATAAACTTTTTAATGCTTGAGAGAATATCACTAAATGCTCAAGTAAATATCTTGTTCCTTGCACCATGTTGTTATACTACCAAAGACATCACAAGGATGATGTCAATTCTTGGTACACGCCTCTTCCCAATGGGAAGTGACTGTTGCACTGTCGCGTGTACAGTTGCAGGCAGTCATTTTCTGTAGTTGCTTTCCAGCTGTATAGTTAACTTGTACTTCTGTCAGAGAACACCAAAGGATCAGGTCCCTGTCATGTTCCTCTTTGTAGCAGTTCATTAGCTGGAGTTCATGCTGAACTTCGTTCATTTAAAATGTGTACCAAGTGAGTTAGGTTCTCTATCTGGTTGTTAACAATAAGTTTGTTAGATCATCAAAACACGAGAAACATAAGGCAAAGACATTGAAAACTCATTATACCTTTAGATCATCTTCACTGGTCTTCTCCTTTGTTGATTTTTTTCTCTACCTTAAGTGCCACTGTAATTGAAACTTGAGGCGTTTGGAATTGAAAACATATGCATTTGGTTGAAACAACAGATGAAAACATGAAGGCTTTGACTTGAAATAGTACTTCAAGAGGATTGTAAATGTTGCCTTGTCTATCTCCTTATTATTAGGAATTATAGCTGTAGGTAAAAAACGTGAAGGCTTTGACTTGAAAGAGTACTTCAAGAAGATTGTAATTATTGCATTGTCTATCTCCTTATTATTAGGAGTTGTAACTGTAATTAAATATGAACTTTTAAGATAATTGATTGATTATACTTAACCAAAAAAATCTAATTTCCAATTCTAAATCTAATGAATAATAAAATAATTGCCCAACATGGGAGGCAGGTCCATTTCCCACGTTTGAGTCACGATCAATCGTGGAGTGTTTTTTTTTCTTTATTACTATGTCTATGTAAAAAGTTTTTTGATGTATTTTTAGGTTTTTAATAAATTAAATAAAAAACTAATGAAAAACGTGGGAGTCTGAAATTTTATTAGTTATGTTTTTTAGTTTTCAGTCTTACAAAGTATGTGTTTAAAAACGTGGGACTCCATGATGTAAATAACAGAATTGGTTAATATTAAAATGTTGTAATTTATTTTCTATTCAAAAAAATTTTGAATTCCAAAAGTATTGAAGTTTTATCATAAAATATGACAGGTGTTGGTATTTCATTTTGACACTTGGCATTATGTCATGAATTTGCTTCTCCTTTTATATATTAATAGATATTTGGATTTGGTTGGAAGAACTAAAACAACCATTTTTTGTTTTCTTGAAAAACAAAACATCTTTTTTTCCTAAGGAAAAAAAAAAGAAAATAACAACTCTCTCGTTTCAATTTATGTGGCAAATTTTAATTATGCACAGAGTTTTTTTTTTTAAAGAATAATTTGAAAACTTGTGATCTTAAATATGCTCATGATATTTTTGAGGTTATAAAATTATAGAAATAAAGGTAAAATAAAATATTTAGAATTAAATTATTTACAAATATAAAAATATGTTTAATCGGACTTATAAGAAATAATGCGACATAAAATGAGACAATGAGCAATTTATCTTTTTTCACAGGACTAACTAACAATCGGCAGTTGTCAAGTCCTTATACACAAACATTTCTTTAAAATGATTTTTAAAAAAAATTGCTAACACTAGGTGTTTACCCAAATTACATAATATAGTTACTAGTTAGCATTAATTTAAGTGAAATACATATCAACTAATCTTGATTAAATAATAAAATATATGTAAAAGTCACAAATTATATACTTATTGGTATGATATAATTATATCATCTCGAGTAATATTGTTACTCACAAAAACTAACGTCTAGGAGTTCTTTCTCTTTCTGTTATTAGGGTTCTACGAAAAGTGAATAAGGTTCTGAGAAAAAAAATCTGTGTTTAGGTTCTACTAAGCCTAAAATATTTAATTTAGAACAAGGAGGATAGTTGATATCATGACCAGGAAATTTAGTTAGCATTTGGACATAGATTTGATTGAAACTTGAAAAAATAGTTTTTTTAAGTTGTGTTAAAAAATAATTTTTGAAAGTTTTGAGTTTGGACATGCATTTTATTTGAAGAAAAGTTGAAATTTTGTGAGCGGGAGAAAAAATTTCACCAAAAAACTATCCTAAACCAGTTTTTGGTGATTTGAAATTCTTTTTTCAAAAAATGATTATATTTCATAATCAAATAATATTCTCAATTTTTTTTTGAAAAACTAAAGCCAAAATCTATCCCAAACGAGAGGTAAATAACTTGAAAAGTGGGTCAAAAATTCTTTCTTGTATGGCCGCCGTAAAAAGTGGGCCATACAAAATAATTTTCTCTTATTAATTTGGGAAAATACTCGAGGAACTCACTTTGAAGAAGCTGGAGAATTCAATTTGTGGCATGACCACATTCATGTAATTGTAATTGTGAATTTGTGACTACTACTTGAAAGGCACAACTTCAATCACTTCCTTAAGTTATGCAATTATAAGTGTGATAATTACTATGAAACTTATTTTATTGTCTTGTCTGATTAAAATTTGCCCAAGCATTACCAATATGAGAAGGAAACACAACTCAACAGATAGAGCTCTTGACAACATTGCATTGCTCAATTTTAAGAATGGTTTTAGGGTGTTGTTTGAATAGTTATTTTTGGAGCCTTTGCTGTTGCGATCCGTTTTCAACACCCTAAGATGTCTATCTCCAGGAACAACCTGGTGCATTAAACTCCAGCTATGCGCGAGGTGAAGGGAAGGGCATGACCATAAGGGTGTATTTTACGCAGTCATATCCTGCATTTTTGCAAGACGATGTTTGTTTTCTATTTTTGCAAACGAAATTTAAAGATCTTCCTTGGTTCTTTATGCACGTTTACAAGTCAATTAAAGTGCAAGGAACTCTCTAAGGGGTCGTTTGGTTTGAATACGGCTTATGCCGGGATAAGTTATGCTGGGATTAGTTATCCTAGTATTATTTTTTATCCATTGTTTGGTATGTTATATTAAAAATGACAATTGTATAATTTCTAAGAAGAAGGTATAAGTTATACCGGCACTAATATTTACCCAACCCTCTAAAAGGTATAAGTTATCCCGTTAGTAATTTTAATCCCGGGATAACTTATACTATTAGGTTTGCTAACCAAACAAAGTATTCAGGTGGTATTAAATTTTTATACCAGCATTATTCCTTCTTATACCTCGTACCAAACAATCTCTAACACTCCTCGTATCAACTATGAATTCCATAGGGCGCTTGTTAATAATCAAGAAGGAAATAAGCCATTCTCTTGAAATGTATGGAACAAAGAATAATCTTCAAAAGAGGATAACGTGTACGCAGATCTTATCCCTACCTCGTGGAGATAGATAGTTTGTTTCAAATAGACCCTCGACTAAGTGAAGCATAAGCACAACAGTAACGAAAAGAAAACAACCAGAAAGTTAGAAACAACAGGAGCCATGGACATTTCACAAGTGCAAGCTAGTTCAAACTGTGCTTCATATGCAGGGTAACTCCTTTATTAAGATTTTACATCAAACAACAGCCATCAATAATGAGTTTGTATGAGCCATGAGTAAAGAGTTTGTTCCTGCAAACTCGTAATGTTCCCTGGTGACTGTTCGTAACAACCAAGAGTTTGAATTTTACAGTAATTTTGCCATCGTGTAAAACACACACATCTAATGCAGACCTTGAGTGAGGACACGAAAACACTTCTCAATTCGACGTAATTCCTTTGCAACATCAATCATGTATGGTCTATCTTCACCCTTCGAGAGCGTACATCTCTTAACAAGATCTAAGTAGTCATCCAATAGTTGTTGAATATCAATTCCACGCTCTTCGGCCAAAATGGTAGGATCCACTATATCCATTACATTACACTCTTCAATATTATATTCGACACAGTTGGGTAATTGTTCGTAATCTTTCATCTTGCCATCAATCATACTCACTTTCTTTCTGGTTAATAGCTGGAAGAGAAGAACTCCGAAGCTGTAGACGTCAGTCTTTTGAGTAACAACTCCCGAGACCATATATTCAGGATCTACAAACCAATATGTTCCACAAACAACATCTTCTACTTCCAATTCTCCCGGAGGCAATGATATGGAGTATGAGAAGTTCATTATTTTGGCAACACTGTTATTCTGATCTATAATCACATTCGATGGCTTTATATCTCTATGGATGATTGGCGTAGTAAATTCACTATGGAGATAAACAATTGTTGAAGAAACCTCATTGGCAATACGCAATCTGCGTTCCCAAGAAACTGATTTTTTAGCATTACACTTCTTGAAAAGTAAATTTTCAAGAGATATAGCATCAACATATTCATACACAAGAACTGGTTCCGGAAGCTCTAGGCAGCAACCAACAAGTTTTAGCACATTCTTGAGATGACTCATCTGAGAAGTAACTGCTATATCTCGGCATATATTATTGAGATTTTCAAAATGTTCTGGTGGGACGAACCTCATTAAAACACGACGGTTATCCAGTGAGGCCATAACTATATGACTGTTGAAGATCTCCATGGTATTTTCAAGGTGTTTTATTGCCCTCTCGATTTCTGTGGCACTGAAGTAACTGAGGGGAATTTGGCATTTTCCGTCGCATAAAGCAATAAACTCCTCTAGCAGTGCACCTCCATTCTTTAAATACTGCTCTTTTTTCAGCTTTTCTGCAGAGGCAGAGGATGATATTAGTTTCCTCTTGAGTCCCCTTAAGTGATGCATCTGTTCTTGCCAAGACTCTTGCAAAAATAATGACTACTAGCTAGTAATTACTCCCGTAATTTTAAAAAGATTGACACTGTTTCTTTATTAGTAACCTTTCAATATTTTCTTAATAAGAAGCAATTATAGCCGCTCAAATAATATGACAGATTTCAGACCACAAACTTAAAAATTTTACAGCCACACAAATTCTATTTCCTTGAAACGGAGGGAGTAGTAATGTAGGAGTCACCACTAGTAAGAGGTGTGGTGGATGAATGGATTCATCCGCCCTTAATCATAGACCTCAAATTTCAGGAAAAATCTCTTGTGTGAACTAGTCAACAAGGCATCACATCATCACTAGTGGAATCTATAAGGAAGTTGAAAGGTTCTTGGTCTTTGTACTCTACCTAATGCATTTGAATTCCACACAAAATGACTGAAAAGTTTTATTTTGTGTCTTATACAACTGACACTAATTGTATGAGGCTCTTTTTTGTCTCACAAATTTGTGGACCCCATTCTTACACTTTTGGGTCCACAAAATGGTGAGACAAAAAAGTTACCTCATACAACTAGTGTCAGTTGTATGAGACACAAAATAAAATTTTCCCAAAATGACAATAAATAGCGTCTGTTAGATGGCTATTGACTTGACTCTCTTCTGTATTAGTACTTTCTGGGTAGTTTCATTACGCTTTCAATCGGTTATTCCCATTATTTTTTATGCTTCAGGATTAATTTTCTGTCCCAGTTTTCAAGTTCAATTAAATCTCCACATCATGATATCAACTTGTCTTCATCTTCTAAATTAATATTGTAACTTCCTCTACTCTTTTTTTTTTTTTTTTTTTGGGTACGGTGGAAAATATTTGGAATTTCTTAAGCGTCGTTTGGTAGAATGACTAAACAAAAATAATCCTGTGATAAAAAGTAATTTCGGCTTATCCCTTGTTTGGTTACTAATCCCGGGATATCTTATCCCAAAATTAAAAAATAGTACTGAAATAACTTATACTGTTATAAATAGAATTCTATTTATGGTGAATGTCTATATTTAAGGATGTGAATTGATGCTCTCATCAGGGGGAGTTAATGCGCGTTGCACTCTTTTTTCCTTACAAGGTTTTGTCCCACTGGGTTTTTCTTGCAAGGTTTTTAATGAGGCAACCAAAAGGTGTATTGTTAGATATGTGCACTCTTTTTCCTTCTCTATAATTTTTTTCCACTGGGTTTTATTTAGTTAAGGTTTTAACGAAGCACATTATCTGTTGAATAGCTATTCAAGGGGGAGTGTTATAAATAGAATTCTATTTATGGTGAATGTCTATATTTAGAGAGATTCTAGGGATTATTACTTGGTGGCTAAGTCACTCTTTCCCTATAAATAGAGGGTTCTATTCCATTGTAATTCATCCCAAAATTCGATAAGAATTCCCTCTCTCTTTCTCTGCAATATTGCTCTTGTTCTTTTATTGTTTTATAACATATACCTGTTTATACTCCAGGGATAATTATTAAAATCACCGCACTCAACCAAGTCAATGTATGACCGTAAAATAACCTTTATTTTGAGCAGAGAAAGTAAGAAGTTGTTCACAAAATGAAGAACTGCTATCTTCAACACATCATCATATGTCTCCCATTTCTTCTTCGTAAAACAATCTACTAGTTGGGTCATTATCACAGATGCGGTCCCAAAATATTTGAAATCAACATATTCTCTCGTATGCTCTCTATACTTGTATCACCCTTATATTTCAGCCCATTAATGAGTGCAAATTCACCCAAACCAAAGCTCAACCTAGAATCACTCACTACAAATCGCATCTCATTTTTCACCTCATGATGTACTTCTTTATAAGTAAATGGTGCATAACCCGAATCTGCACAATAACTGGTGGCAGATCCAAAAAATTTGTTTTCTTAAACATCCGAAGTTGTGTCTTTGTTAATTCTCTTTCAACAAACGAATGACATTGCAGTTGGTATCCCAATCTACCTTTCGTTTATAATCTATGTCCGTAGGCACAAGAAAATCTCACCACTGCAAAATATGTTCATATAAATAATTTCATAAATAGAATTCACTCAAAAATATAACTAAAACAACCAAAAATGTAACAACTATCATATGATACCAACATGGCATATAACTATACCAACAAGGTTTACAGTTTTACTGGCTAATTTCCAGCAACTATAAATGATTATACTACTATTACATAATAGACAGGCATAAAGAGAAAAATCCAAAAGGTATGCAGCTATAAAGTATTTTCAAGATATTGTACGACACTACTATTATTAAAGGAAAAACAAATAGTGTACCAATTAAATGCAGCCAATACATCAAAAAATGGATCCAAAAGCATATGATACCAATATAACAATATAGTATATAGCTATACTAACATGATATATAGTTGTACAGGGTTGTTCCAACAACTGCCTATAACTATAAAAACTATTACATAACACACATTCACTATGTCCATAGGCACAAGGGAATCGCAACAATGCAAAACATGGTCATATAAATAATTTCAGAAATAGAATTCACTTAAAAATAACACAACTTACTATAACTATAATATAATACAAAAGCATACCAGGAAATCAATAAATAACAATGTACTATATATTCCAACGCATAGATTCTAATTTTATGAAAAGTACCTTCTTGGTTGCGAAACCAATTTTTTTCTTCTTTACTTGAGAACCATTGCTACAATCAACATCGACTGGTTGAGTCTCTATTGTAGGCACGGATTCACGTCGGCTTCCACCAAACTCGAAATCCTCAATGACTTTAACTTTTCCCTTATCATTCACTGCAGCACCTGCTATGACTGATTCAGAATTTGTTTCGAATAATGACTGGTTAGGAGTTTTATCGATTGGCGAAGCATCAATATTGTTGCCTTTTCCACGCTCTAATTCTACATTTTTAGTTGTATTTTCAACACGATTACTGCTAGGGTTAGGACTAAACACAGACAGAGAATCGAAAAATGATGAAAAACTAGGACCGGACATGACTGAGGCAACGAATTCATCAACTACTTGGGTTATAGAATGATGTTGTCCATGGCGCCACCATCTGCGCGCATAATGCTTCCGACCTATAGTGAAAACAACAACCCACAGACATTGATCCACAAAAATTCTATGATTTTGAAAATCTACTTTCACTAAAATGTACTTTCACATACAAAAATTTTGCCCCGAAATTACTATTAGACGAAGAGATAAAACGAAATCTGAAGAAAAAAATTCAAAAGTCGAATTAGTAAATGCTAGGTGAAATATGGGTTCTCATGGTTTGGTTATGGAGGTTTTGAAATTGTCTGTAGCAATAAAGGACGAAGACAAAATAAATTAGGCATTAAATGATGGTGGGTATGGGAACTCGCTAATTGCATGAGCTACTAGGTGAAATAGCTTGGGCCGGGTATGGGAATCCACTGCTAATGGGTGGGTCGCGTAAATAATCTGGGTCGCATGGGTAGGAACAGTAAATAGTTTAAGCCTGGGTATTAAAGGTTAAATAGTTTGCTCTTAATAGGTATAAAGTGAGATTTTCTCATTATTTTTTGCGGAAAGTGAATAAGGTTGATTGCGACATAAAAAAAATTATAAAGACCGTAAGAAAAATAGTATATAATATTGACCAAGAACAACTTATTGAACGAATCTGGTAAGCTCGAAAAATGAAGAAATAATTTTAGCAAAACCAAATCTATTTGGGGGGGGGGCATATTGACCCGTTTTGCCTTCAAGACCAATTTCTCATGTGCGCAAGGCAACTCCCTTTTACTAGCCCTTTACAAGCCCAACAAAGAGCAATTCAATATAAAAAGAAGAAAAAGACTTTTCACAATGTGATGACCTGGCCGGTCATCTTAAAAATTAACGTTCTGATCCCCTATTAACTGCTTTCCTCGTATTTATTTCTGCTATTTTGATTTGTCGGGATGTTCGATTTTGAGTTTCGGAGAGTTTTGGGACACTTAGTCCCTAAATGAGAGCTTAAGTGTTGGAAATTTGACTGTAGTCGGAATAGTGGGAAGACGGCCTCGGAATGGAATTCTAATGGTTCTGTTAGCTCCGTTGGGTGATTTCGGGCTTAGGGGCGTGATCGGATTGTGTTTTGGAAGTCCGTAGCTAATTTAGGCTTGAAATGTCGAAAGTCAATTTTTTCAAGTTTCCGGTTCGATAGTTAGATTTTGATCCGAGGGTCGGAATAGAATTCCGGAAGTTAGAGTAGCTCCGTAGGGTTGAATATGACGTGTGCAAAATTTCAGGTCATTCGGGCGAGGTTTGATAGGTTTTTTTATCGAAAGCGTATTTTTAGAGTTTTGGAGTTCTTAGGCTTGAATTCGCGGTTAATTCGCTGTTTTGATGTTGTTTTAGGTGTTTTAAGGATTGGTATAAGTTTGGACAGTGGTGTTAGACTTGTTGGTGCCTTTGGTTGAGGTCCCGGAGGCCTCAAGATAATTTTGGATGGTTGTCGGAAGAATTGGAAGTGGTTCGAAGCAGCTGAAGCTGCTGATATCTGTCATAACCGCACCTGCGATTAGGTCCCGTATGTGCGGAGCCATAGAAGCGGAATTGGGGAGGTCCAGCAGGAGACGCAGGTGTGAGAAGGGTATCACACCTGCGAGACCGCAGGTGCGGAAGGTCTATCGTAGAAGCGGAAAAAGAGGATTAATGAGAAGTCGCAAATGCGACCTTGGCTCAGTAGAAGCGGGACCGCAGATGCGGTTTAACAAGGCAGAACATATAAAAACTTGCCTTCGTGAATTTTAGCCATTTTTCACCTCTTTTCAAACGGGAATAAGCTTGGGGAGCACTTTTCAAGAGGGATTTTCAGAGGAGTTCATTAAACTCGTTATTGGAATGATTTTTATCAATTTAAGCATGAAAAATTAAGAAAAATCAGTGGTAATTTGTGGGTTAGGGCTAAACTAATTAGAGGCCTTTGAGTGGTAATTTTAGGGACCAATTGAGGTCCAATTTTGGTACTTTTGGTATGACTGAACTCGTGAAAGTGTGAGAATTCTGGAAATGTAAATTTTACCTGATTCCGAGATGTGGGCCCGAGGGGCGTTTTGGTTATTATACCTAATTTCGCGTATTAGCTTAGAATTTAATTGTAGAATTAGTTACTTGAAGTGTTATTTACATTATGCAATTGAATTGAATAGATTTGGGTCATTTGGAGTCGAGTACTCATGGCAAAAACGTGGT